TGGAACTAGATGATCTTTAAGGTCCCTTCCAACCCAGACCATTCTATGATTCTATGAGTCTATGATGCTTCAAGCTCTATACCAGTGACAAGCAATCTCATTTTTAACTGGAAGTTACCAGAATGAGAAATACCAACAACCTAAGCACCATGGGAAAAGGCTGATATTATTTGGAAGAACATTTATGTATAATACAGAAAACAGTAGAGGATCACTATATATAATTAATCTGACTCTACATACCTATTATAATGTGTGTCTAACAGTATACCTAAAAGTATGGTTTTCCTAAATTCCACTGAAACACCACTAATCTATTTTTATCGCAGAGTGAGAGCCATGTTTTGGTTTTTATTATCATTCATTGTCTTACAGCTGCTAAATACATACAGAGGGAATATATTAGCATGAAATATTGGGATTTGGAATAGGATACCAATTTACTGTCCCTGCTTTTTAAATTGCAATAGATAGCAAATATGAGCAGTTTGGCCCTAATGGGGATTCATAAGCTCTGTAACACAGACCAGAATGGTCAACACACCTGATCCTTCGGCTTCTCTTCCAGCTCTCCCATGGTTCTGTCTTCCGCAGTTCTCATGTAAACCAAGGAGAACTGCAGGTTTTACCAGCTGACCTGGAAAACTGGCCCACTGTCTTTGACTTTCCAAATTTGTCATTTCTATTATTCAAAATTTGCAATTTAATATCAAGCTTTTCATTCTAAGAAGAGCTACTCAGCAGACATCGCACATTCACATAAGCATCACAGAAACTTGTGCAAGTCTCACATAAATACATACGCCATTCATCAATTTTGGATATTTACTGTTATCTGATACTTACTATTCTGCAGTGAAATTCAAGGAAAAAAAATCACCAATGCTAATTAAACAACAATTCCCATAGATTTCAATATGGAACAAACATCAAAACTTCTCTTTAGCCTGCAAAGTTTGATCTTAAGTCAGCAAAATAAATTAAAAACAAATACTTAAGCCTGAATGTTAATTAAAAATAAAAATTGATGAAAAATTAATTGGGTGCATAAATTTACATTTTTTACAAAACGGAAAGCAAAGAACTTAAAATGAGCACCAAAAGAAGAATACTATTATTTATGTTTCTGTAATCAATTTGTTAGAGGAATCTTCCCTCTAACAAGGACAGAAGTAGCTTAAGCACAAATGTAGCTTTCGGGATATTTCACTCAAGTCAGTGGGACTAATCCCAGGTTTAAGTTAAGTATGTACTTCAGTACCTTTCATATCAGGCACCTAGCAAGCCAAATATGTGTATACTGACAAATTAAACTTGCTCTGCACTCTTTAAAATAGTGTTACCTGACCTCTCTTAAATAACAGTTCAAAGGGATAGCTACAAAGCATTTGTACTTACACATTTGTACTTATAAAAAAAATTTTGTAAAGGGAAAAGTTCATTTGCACAGGCTGTATTGAAAATATCTTCCATTTAAAAATTAGCTGTCAAATTTTGTCAGTGGAATATATTGTATTGTTTCACAACTGTTGAAGATTAATCTGTGAAATGCTTTTTCCCCACAGAATTATGAAATTTCATGTTGCAAAGAGAAAGTTTAAGGAAACACTTCGTCCATATGATGTCAAGGATGTCATTGAACAGTATTCAGCAGGTCATCTAGACATGTTATGCAGGATTAAGAGTCTTCAGTCACGGTAAGGAAAGAGTAATTTCTGCTCTGCATAAGCATCTTATGTTATGTCATTCACTGCATAATGAATATTAGTAAGGTTGAACATTCCTGTGTTATATTTGGGTACAAATTGCCATCCATACTTCAGCCCAGCTCTTCTTTCTGTGAATGCGCTGAGCCAGAAATTACATTGTGGGTAAAAACAAACAAAAAACCATGTATCTAAATTGTCCCCAGAAAATGGAAATCTGAACAACAGAAAACGTAATCCTTTATCTGTAAAGGCCATTCATAAACAAGGAATTTAGTCATGAGGTTGCCAAAAGGAGGAGGTCGACATTGAGAACTGCCTTTCTCCCATCCCAGACTTTCTCTTTTCACATAAAAGAAATTGGGAACTACTGGTAATGTAATATTTATGTAGTTTTTATATTCTAGATTCTCAGCAATAATAATTAAAAAAAAAAAAAACAAACCAACATTGCATCATGTGTATCATTACCAGCATCGGGGCTGAGATTCCTGCTTCAAACTGACAACTGTTAGGATGGGAGAGCTGAAGGTGGCACTGGTACATCTGTTCCCCCCCAACATGGGGCTGCTGGAAAGGCCACCGCCTCTCGACGTCTCAGCAAGTCTAGCTCTGGCTCTCCCAGATGATGGCTAAGTTCTGGCCCCCAGTTAGTGCCAACGGAAAAGAAAAGCTGTCTCTGAGCTAATCTCCAAATGCTCAAAAAGCATTTGTTTTTTTTTCTTAATTTTTGAATAAAATTAGGTTAACTTCTTTCTCGGGTGCTTTTCTGAAGTCCTACGATTTTATTTTTTAATGTACAGATTAGCAAGCACTTCCATATCATCACTGTTTTCAGGAATCACCGCAGCTTTTTATTTCTCTTACAGCGTTGACCAAATTCTTGGGAAAGGACAAATCACAGCAGATAAAAGAAGTCGAGAAAAGAATCCTGCAGAGAATGAGACAACTGATGACCTCAGTATGTTAGGCCGTGTAGTCAAGGTGGAGAAACAGGTAGAGTGATTATCTGTGTCGCTTTGTCTGGCTCTGTTGCTCATGCCTTTTGTGTATTTTATTGCCAGTTTCAAAGGCTGAACAGGTAAAATATTTTTTTTCTAATATCTGCTTCATTTACATGTTGAAATAAAATTGGTATGAATCCTATTACCTTAACTGTCTTCCATGTACAGAAAAGCAAGGAAGGAAAAATCGCAGGTTACTAAATTTTTTTCCCTTTTATCAGCTTGCTTATGAAAAATCTAACATGGCTTTTGACAACCTTATTTTTCAAGAGTCAATAGCGTATACCAAGCTCCTCCCATTCTTCAGCAGTCACATTTTCCCTTTGCTTGGGTTCCAAATATTTTAATTAGTATTTGGCATTGATGTTAACCTTTTCCTCTCCTCCTGTAGGTACAATCCATTGAGTCAAAACTGGACTGTCTATTAGATATTTATCAACAAGTTTTGCGAAAAGGATCCGCATCCGCGCTCACTTTGGCTTCCTTTCAAATGCCAGCTTTTGAGTGTGAGCAGACTTCTGATTACCAGAGTCCATCAGACAGCAAAGATTTGTCTAATTCTGCACAAATTAGTGGATGTGTATCCAGATCAGCTAGTGCCAATCTGCCTCGTGGCCTACAGCTTATACTGACACCAAATGAATTTAGCACTCAGGCTTACTATGCTTTTAGTCCAGCTATGCATAGTCAAGCAACGCAAGTGCCAAACGATGGACCTGCAACAGTTAATAATACACCAAACCAAATAAACCAGGCAACTAAGCCAGCAACTCCAACAACATTACAAATACCACCTTTCTCATCAATGAAGCATATCAATAGGCCTGAGCCCGTTCATATTATTCCTGTAACCACACAGGAAAATATTTCCGATGTCACCGCTTGCCTTGTTGCATCAAAGGATAATGGACAAATTGCACAGCCCAGTGCGACAAAGGATCTCACATGGAAGAAAAGTCTGGATACAGAAGGGGAACCTTTGCTCTCAATTAAGCCTGTGGTGCAAATGGATTTAGGAAAATCTTTATCTGTACAAAACCTTATACAATCAACAGAAGAACTGAATGTACAGATTGCTGGCAGTGACTCCAGTGGTTCCAGAGGTAGCCAAGATGTATACTCCAAATGGAGGGAGTCAAAATTATTTATAACTGATGAAGAGTTGGAGACAGAGGCAGGAACAGAGACTACTGAAGCCATCTCGCGCCCATTAGTGGAAACAACTCTCTCTGCTGACTCTCTAAGGACTGGAATATCAAGATCATCTCAAAGCATTTGCAAGCCAGGGGACGGTACAGAAGCACTCAATCTGCTCCACGTCAAACTTAAATAACAGCTTGTGGGCTTTCTTCATTGGCTGGGTCATTCCTCTAGTCATACATATCATAGCATGAACTGTTTTGAAAGCCTTTTTAATAAGATAAAATCACAAAAATCAGGATGAATTTGAGAAGCAGTTGAATGAGCCCATATCTCCTAGTTGCATGAAAATGCATGTTTAAGTGATGGCTAACATTCAAATTTACACCTACAGTACAGCAGCCTTTATGTAGTACAGTAGGTTTAAATGATGAGTTGCCTACAAAGCTAATGCTGCAGGATGTATCAAAAAGCAAAAATTTGAGCATTTAGACCTAGTGCTGTTTCTACAGGGCAGAAGTAAAAAACGTAAGGTTTAAAGCACTTTGCTTCTGAACTAATTAAATATATATATATATAATGTCCTGATTTAGATGATCGTTTATGTTTACAACAAAAAAATTATCTACAGCTGCTAGCAAGGTACCAAGGAAACGAGTAATATGGGATTAGAAATGGCTGCCAGTTGCAAGATACACACATTAGCTCATCAGTAATCAGTTATTTTTAACTCTGAAAAACAGTACATTAATGTCCATCTGATTTTTGGTCATTTAGTGCTGTGGCAAAAGTACCTGACACACCACTATCACATTGTTCTTTATAACGAGAACATCATTTTGCTACGAAAAGTTTGTATTTTAAGGACTGAGGCTGGCCTCAGAAGTGGATAATGTGGGTGAATGCACTAAAAATTCAGGGGAATCTCTCCTTCCAGTCTCATTGACGAGCTATCTTGTGAATCTGAAACATTTTGGCAGCAGTAGGTGAAGGAAGGAAGCAGGCGCTGCCTTTATTGTAGGAGCAATATTTCCTTCTACGGAAATTTTGGCAATTTTCCTTGCAGTCCCAACCTGATACCATGACAGTACTTCATAAGGCTGGGAAAGGAGGGAAAATGAGGAACTGAAATACAGAGTAAAACGAAAGAGGATAGAACAGGGAAGAGAGAAAGACAACACAATCAATGAAGAAAAAAAAGAATATGGATTTAGATGGGCAGGAAGGGAAATGATCCCAGAAAATAAAAGAAGGTAAAGAGGCAAAAAGATTTTTTTTTTTAAATCCAGCCTGCCAGTCACAGATATTGAGTGCTATTTCCAAAAAAAAAAAAGCCATATAGGCAATCAGAAATGGAAATAGAAGTAGGGAAGACCACCTTAACTGAAAAAAACCTGAAGGCAAGAGGTTTTTTGTTTGTTTGTTTGTGTTTGATTGCTTTTTAAATAAAAGGGGAAGAGGAGAGAGGGGAAAGTGGTCACACTCTTATAGCTCAACACTGTGTCCCAACTGCAGTCATTTCTTGTGAACTTTCCAAGAAAGGACCTTCAGACTCCTTCCTCCTAATACCCGAGTTTTCAAATTCAAAGCCTGCATC